GAGACAAGGATTTTATGTTATCTCAATTTCTACCTTCTCTTCCTTTATTTATCCTTTCTGTGCATTTTCCTGGTTTTAACCCGAACTAAACTGGTTAGCTGTACTGGATGAAATATTAATCACAATTTATGAGAAAAATTTAATACTGAAAAGGAAAAGATAATACTTTCAAGCATGAAATAACCAAGATATCTGTTTTTGAGCTAGGAAGAGCTGTGTTCTCAAGTCATATGCTGAGTCAAAGAAGACCCGATCACCACAGACAGACACTGTCACAAGACATTCTTTCCCCAGTCTTAGGAGAATACATTTCAAAGGTCTTGTTATGTGACCTCAGTAAGGAAAAAGGTTTACATATTTCACATAGTCCTTGTGTTAAACTTTGGTTACTTTTTTTTTTCCCTTAGGGGAATTAGATCTTAAACAATAAGATCTTAAAACTTAAATGTGTGGATTCTTTTGCAGATGATGCATTGTATGTTATAGCTTTTATTGGTGTACAGAAAAGCAGGATTATGTGAATAACTACTTTAAGAAGAAAAAATATAGTCTATTTTATGTCAAAACTAAGAAGAAAATTGTGTTTTGCATGTAGCAATGTAAAAACAACTGCAACTTTTTTTTAATTCTTGGCACAGTTCAGTTGGTTTGGTTCTCTATGTTGGGGCTGTGCCTTCACAGTTGGTTCTGAAGCAAGACCTAAGCTTCTTCTCCATTCAGAACTGGAAAGTTTGTTAGATTGATAACAATGGGGATTAAAGCTTTGTCACTTCTGATAAGACTTGCCAAAGAAGAAAAGCTGCTGAATCCCAGGGCTCTGTGTCCTGCTGAGATCCTGGCAGTGGTGCCTGCACCCCTAGCTTACTTCCAGCCTTCACTTGAAATTCTGAAGCTCCCACACACACCTGCCCTATGTACTTGTGTCTGAGTAACTTGATTTATTTCTTTTGGCCTTCCGTGAACAGTTCAAGCCTCAGGTAAATTCTCTAATCTTATGTTAAGCCAGTATTTATTTAAAGGCAAACTTTAAATTCTAAATCTTTTCAAAATATGTATTCTTTGGAAGAGGTCTTGAATGTCTATGTAGCTTCTGTAATCTCTTGAATAATATGTGCTGTTTTGAATATCAACTCGATAGTGATTAATTATTGAGGTGAAACATCAAAAAGAAAATAAGTGTATTTTTATTAAAAAGACAGCTTGAAATATTATATTACTGAAGTCATGGTTTTATTCCACAGACCAAAGTTTTGTATTTAATCTTTTTTATGCTCTGTGCAAGTAAGCAAAAGTTCTTCAGTTCTTTTACATTGAAAAGAGTTGGTGGATTGCAGTTTTTATAACAGAATAAAAGTGCTTGAGGACAAAATATTTGTGTATTAGAACTTTCCAGCAAGAAAGGTTTGGCATTCTAATATTTTTCTGAGTTAGCTCTTAAGGCTTTTGTGCTGTGGAGTGCTTGCTTGCTTGTGGTAAGAATTGTGATACTAAACTTCTGATAGCTCATACACATTGGGAAGAGGAGACTATACCTGTTATAAGTGAACAAAACTAAGTTTGTTTGAGAGAAGCTCTTGGTATTTTTGGTGTTGAATTGACTTATGCTTCTAGTAAATGTGTTGCTTTTAGACTGTCTTTAAATATAAATACCACTTTATAATTAATTTAAATGATGCTTTTTTATGCTTCTTTTCGCAAGCACATTCTTCTTCCCAGCACATTTAATTTGCAGTTAGTGCAACTGCTGATTTTTTGATTTCTTTTTTTTAATTTCCAAAGCCAATAACACTGGCTTTTGTAAGACTAAAGGGAGAGAGGATTATGTTAGGAAGAACTATTGGAGATGCACACATTTTATGTATGTATGTGAATATATCTATCTAAATGTATTAAGAAATATATATTAACATAGATAGTCAGAGCTTAGCATATTAAAAAAGTATATTCCACATTGATCTAACTATATATTTTGCTATTGGCCTGGATAATGTTATTTACAGTTGAGCATTATGAGCGTTTCTGGAAAGATGAGAAATGTTCAGTTCCCTTTAGCTGTAACTTCTTTTTGTCACATGCATCTTCCTTTGCTCTCCAAACCATAATCAAAATGAAAATCAAATTCCCCTGATCTTTCAGAACAGTCTGAGTGTACAGCTTGCAGTTATTTCCGGAACACTTTTAACTAGAAATCCAAACCCATAAGGAGATGTGCTGCAGGAGACTGTGTGACACACTGCAGGGCACCTGCCTGACACCGCATTGTGCAAACTTACCCTGCATTTCAGTGCATTAAGAGGGTACTTTAGAGTGAAAAACTTAAAATGTTGTGTTAAATTTTATTGGTATCTGGCCTTGTCCCTTTAAGATCAGCCAGATCTAAATTGAAGGTATGAAATGGCAAATACTTCCAACATTGCTTGCTGAACAAAGCAATGGCAGTGTTCTTGGCTCTATTCAAATGTTCTTCAAATATCTGACACCTTTAGAATAGTCAGGTAGACTGCATGTTTGAAAAATTATAAAACTCCAATTTTCAGTTTGAAAAACAGTAATTTCTTTTAACTGTATAAGTACTTTTGAGCTTATGCCTCTGTCAGTCAACAAAAATGCAAGAGAGTAACATCTTCAGCTAAAACATTGCAGTGGGAATGGGAAATAGATCTTTAAAAAGACTTGTTGCAATCAATACCAAGGAGTTTAGGGGACATGTAGCCACTATCTAATTGATATAAATGATTTTTTGTTTTATACTGGGTTTTGCTAATTCCTTTACTTCCTGCCTGTGAAGGTATTGGTCAAAGCAGTGCACTGGGGACATGCCTACTGTTTATACAATCTCTGAGACTGATACGGATGCAGTAAGGTTTTCTCCTGTTTCATAGCTCTTGCAGCCATCCCCATGACCATGAGCTCAATGAGTGCATTCAGACTCCTTATGAAAAACGGCTCTGCTAGCTGAATGGCAGGAAGCTTATGAGTTTGTTTTCCTGACTTCTCTGGATGTATAAACCAGTTGCTGCAGCTCTAAAAATGATATGCCTGGTGCAGTAGTGATTTTCTGCACTGAAGGTGGATGCTGACAGGAGTTATGTACTGCAGATATTTTAGTGAACTCTGAAAAGACTGTGCTGTAATACAACACTCCACAACATTTCTCCTGGAGTGTGATTTTCTCTCCATCATTATCTTCTGTAGAATTATATCTGTGGGAAACCAGTTTATGTGACTGTGCTTTACCTTGTAACAAGGGAGTGTTTTTCCTTGTATAATTTAATGTATTTTGGCTCAAGAGCATACCTCAGTTTCCTGCATTTATATGTTATATGCAGTGGGGAAGAGCATGAGGGGCACAGAAAGCCTGTGTGCCCCATGCCTGCGATGGTTAGGACTGAACTGAAAATCTGTTGTGCTAGTTAGCAACTACTTAGACATCTGCCTAGCTGGGTTCCTTCTGATTCTGAATGTCCTCTGTAATTTCTAACACTGCCAAGGGGAAACACGTGGGTTTTATTTATTGATCACCAACTATTCTGTGATGGGTTTAAAAAGGCTGTGCTAGAGTATTAATAGCTTTTTTTCTGAAAATAGTACATGCTTCCTGAAATTGTAGAGTTAGCCTCTTGTAGTCACTCTAGTAAAAACACATAATGAGAAATGCTCACTAAAAACATCTTTTGCTCTTGTTTAGTGTTTGTCAGGTTCAACTCCAGCCATGGCTTCCCAGTAGAGGTTGGTTTGGACGCCAGCATCCTCCAGCTGAAGGAGGCAGTTGCCCAGCGACAGGGAGTTCCAGCTGACCAGCTGCGGGTGATTTTTGCAGGGAGGGAGCTCAGCAATGACTTGACACTGCAGGTAAGAATCCCTTGGTAACTTCTCTCCTGGACTGCTGCCAACTACACTGCCTCTGCCTCTAATGCTGCCAATCTGATGTTCATGCGTGAGATCTAATAGAATAAATAGTGCCTGGGGATTCCTTGAACTTTACTCCACACTGCTTCATTAATTCTGACCTTCTT